CATTTCTCTTTAAACTTCATTAAACAATACAATTTTATACAAATAATTGAATGTTATCCTACGTAAAAAGCTAAGTAAAATATAGGTGTAAAATATGGTATAAATTTGCACGAAAATATGCTGAAATCGATGTAAAATTCTTGGTAAAATCTTCTGTGAATTCTATGAAAATTCTATTCTCTCTGGACCCGATACTGTTTTAAATATGTGACGGATTTACTATTATATATTTATTTTGATATCGATGTTTGTTTAAATTGCATTTATATTTAGAAATGTACATAACTTATATTGTTAAATCTTATTGCAAAACACCCGCCTATTCTCTAAAGTTGAAGAAGATTCTCGAGTGTAAAAACCAACAATATATGTGTGTACGTAAACGCTAGTGTAGCTTGTTTGTCACTTAAGCTGAAGTTTCGAAAACTCTCCACACGCCTATAAATATAACCAACGCGACGCGCCTAAAAATAGTATATATTTTTGGTTTGCTATAGTTGGTGGGTGTGCTATAAACTTCGGAAGCTATAACTGTGATTGTTATAACGTTTATTAATCAGAAAACTTAAGATATTTGACCAGGAACATTTATAAATTTCGGACATTACAAAACATTCAGTGAATTCACATCGGACATTAGTACTTTTGCGAAAACATTACCTTATGTCATCGGTGGGGAAAAAATCAGCGTGTGATCAGTGAAGACCACAGAGCTATTTAGCTCCCCTATTAAGTGAATTGTATCTACATCAACTCGAAATTAACTCGCACATCGCGAACCCTCGATAAGACATCAAGGAAGTTTCAGACGAGAAAGAAGACTTTATATTGTTTGTAAGTTTGTAAAACTTTTGATATAAATTATTGTTTGTATATTAAAATATATTTGTATTAAAAAAGCAAACTGTGTGTATCAATCTTGTTCGCAGATATCATAAATTGGATACATATCGATATTTAATTAACTTCTAAATTTAAATTATCATTTAACTCAACTTCAGGCTACTTGAAATTGTAATATGTAGCAAATATTACAGTAAACCTTCGAGTTTCTGATACAATAAAACAATGCTTGGTGTCTGATAGACCAAATGGCCAATGGGCAGCAAAGATAATGGGTGAGTCAATCCACGCTCCTGAACTCCCGCCTGATTTACTAACAAGTATAACTCTGTGTGCTAATTAAAAAGCTCATTGTTATTCCTGTAAGATAATCAAGCACAAACATGATTAACATTCACTTGACCCTGGAAAAAGTTAAAGTTAGAAACTTTTTTGAGCAATGCTATATTCCAATTTTATGAATTTTATGAAAATTATGGTTTAAAAATTTTATCGTAGAAAAAAAGATTTTTGGTTAAATTTTAACAATACATACACATAGAAATTAGCATGCATCCATAATAGTCGATCTTACACTTATACATATAACTGTTTTTATTTAGTTCTTTTTCTCTTTTTTATATTCGTACGCAATGCACAGGCTGACATCCATTTTCCCAACTTATACTATAGCGTAAAATTGTAAAAGTTGTTGCAGCATCAATCAGCTGCAAAATATTATTATATTAAGAAAAAATTCAACTATACTGTTGCGTCATCGAGGTCACGTGACTGGTGTGGCGCCACCTATTTTCTAGAACTATCCTGTACCTTGGCGAATGCTCTAGTATTTACTAGATATAGGGTAGTCTGATATATAAAAGAGGGTGACAACGTGACGGGACAATAATGTGTGTGTAGGTAATGAGTAATTGAACAGCAGTCAGAGAGAGACGTATTGTTGAAGTTAATGTTCGTTCGTTATAGTGTTTGTTTTAGCGCGAATATTGAAATTAAGTGTATCGTAAAGTTATATTCGGAAAGAATAAACCAGTTTTATTAAGTAAGGACTTGTGTCGTTAAAGTTTCGTCGGAACGAAGTTACGGAAAAATCAATTAACAAACAGAGACGTAACAATACTTTACTGTTCTGACTGTCGACTGATAAGCGTTGCCACGTGTCAAGGCAAAGTTGATAGGTTATTATAGAGAGGGGGAAGCAGTATGTGTGGAAGAGTGGAGCGAGCAATAGACTTTTGGAGCGTGTGCTACGAAACGATGTTGGAGTTTATTTTTAGGACAAGTCGCCAATACATGAGGAAAATTTAGTTGAAAATCACGCGTTTTCTCTAAACAAAAAGAGGAAGATGATAAACATAGATATCCGTTTCGAACATTCTGGAATGAAAACAAATTCCTATAAAGTGGCAATTATGGAAACCAAAGATTTAAATAGATACTGGTATGCCATTTCGGCTTACTTTGACCACCGCTGTTTAGGCCTGATGAGGTGCTATAACTCCAACTCAAGAATATGACTGTGGGAAGATAGAATATGAATAATTTCGATAAAAACAAATCGTGTAACTGAATGAAATTGCTTGTACTTAATTGTGTTGATTTTTTAAAAATAAAAAAGCCTATTTTTATACTAGAAGAAAAAATAACACAAAAGAAACATATTACATATACTCTATATTAATAGAACGAGGTAGAATACACACAGTATGCGTATATGTACCATACAGCTAATCAGTGATGCAAGCCCCTGCATTTCTGCGCTTATACCCCAAAGGTGCCCTTTTTTTATTCATAAAATTCGTCCATAACTACTAAAACACATGTCTTGCTTACCGTGAATTATCAGGGAAAAGAACTTGTAGGTCTTTACAGTAAAAAATAATAATAATTATGATATGACATTAAGTGTGAATACGCAATAATTTACTGTTTAGTTTTATATTTAGAAATGTTTATAAGATCCATTTTTATAGCTTCTTATCCTATGTGTACCAGTCCCCTTAGTTTCCCGTAACACTCCCCCTCCCCAAAATATGTTTTGCCTTACGCTGCTTGAAAAGTGTCTTTTTTTTTTTTCAAGAATCCCTCGCCCCTTTAATGTCTTCTGCACATTATTGCGGTTAATGATCAAAAGCTCAGTATGAAAATATCTCCTGTCATTTAGTTATCATCGAAAAATCAATATTTAATTGCACATCCTTATAACGTTTACATTCACAAACAACTTTTTATTTTATTATCTGATTAGTAATTTTTGAAATGTGAAATTTAAAAAGCACTCTACTTGATAAATTTTTCTGGTGTAACTGAAGTTACGAATTACCTTGGAAAGAAAGTCACGAAAACTGCTTTTATAATATAAATTTCCTTAACTAGAGTGTGACTGAATAATATAACGTTGCATATGGCATACACTGATTTCCTTCAAGCAAGAACCATACCCGCCCTAACTAGAGTTTCGATAGAACCAGAGGCGTCGCTGGGTGCTTAAGAGATTCAGAGCTCGGGCCCAAAGACGCGGAAATTTTAGGCGTTTCATTATGATATTGATCATAGTTTTCTATTCTGATTTTTAAAGACACCAAATGGGGATTCAGGGCACTGTCTACTACAATTGGGGCACGGGTCCTGTCTTCCAGTGCCTAGCGACGCCTCTGGACAGAACATGTATTATGAAGTTAAATCCGGAGTTTCACATATACCCGACTAAATTGAAGGTAAAGTTTAGGCAAAGATTGTCAGTAAAATAAAAGCTCTACTATATTTATTGATCACACAAACAAAAGATACAGTTCAATTAGAGATGTGGAAGAGGAATGTAATCTAGGTAAGACTGAAAACAGTAATCACATCTTACAACAGGGCGAACTCTCTCAAGAGTGGGAAAGTCTAAAAGCATCAACATTTTCACCAAACTTCCTTCACTGACACATATATAACATTATGTTGCGGTAGAGTTGTGTTATATAAAACAAAGAGAACGTCAAGAGAGAAATAAATGCAGGTCCATGTGAGACAGGCGAAACAGAAGGGTATTGTTTCGTGGTAGTTGGAACGAGAGCCTTTCCAATGGAGTGAAAAAATGCCAGGTGAATAGATATAAAGATATAAGATAACTAAAACATTAATAACAATATATTCTGATTCTAACCAAACATTCATTAGAAATATTCATAATGGATCTGTTTCAAAACGACGTTTTGCTTCCTAGCGCAGGTTCTCATTGGGTCTTGAAGAAGACCTGCAGATGAAAACCTCCTCAAAAACTTTTCAGATGAATTACAAAATAGTATTTTAAGAAATAGAGATATATTTCTTAACTCCCGTGGATGGCCATTTGACTATCCAAATAACAGCTAACAATGTTACAGATTAGTAGAGACAAGATTTTCAATACTGATAATTTCAGAAACGATCTTAAAAATATATGTAAATAAATTACGTATTCTAACAAATAGAAAAGTATTGGGTTAGCCCCGTGGATACCTATTTGGCTATCCAAATATAAGAATAATGTGTCATTGTCCTAGCTCATAGCTAACAACGTTATAGATTAACAGAGACAGGACTTTCAATACTGATAATTTAAAAAACGATCCTAAAAATCTACGTAAATAGCATTGCAGTGCAAATAAGAAAGACATACAATGAACACGATTGTTGGTAGTACAACATATTAAAAATACCACATAATTCTTTACTGGATGGTGTAGCAGGAACTTAGTTACATGTAAAGTGATTTTTTTTTATTCTGGGAATAGTTTCATGGTTGGTATAACATCCTTGAACACTCATATATACTGATTCATGCTTGTTTGTTGTTGTTTTGTTTTGTTTGGGGGGGGGGGGTCTTGTTCTAAAAAATAACAGGAGAGCTAAGTTTAGTATCAGTTCTTTGGTATGGTAAGAAATAATGTGTTTATCGTGTTAGATAACACTAAAAGTCCGAAAATATTTAATGACATCGTCCGTTTAATTTTGAAAACGCAGTTGGCTATAGTCAGATATATATTTATACAGGAAAAGCGTTTACTATCAGCAGATTTTTAAAAACAACGTTATAACTGAAAAACATCTCAAACGTTCTTGCGCATGCTTATAAACTTGTTTCTTATTTGCTCTTTACTAATTGGCCAATACCCCTACATTTAAACTTAGTATGTCTTCCTTGATAGGCACTCTACAGTGGTGCATTGGTCAAACAACCACGAGGATGGCTGTGAAGCCAGCGTTGGGAGTTGTATTAACGTGCGGGTTATTACTGCCTATTGTATCAGAGACCAATGGAATAAACGCGCGCACGTGCTTCAACTCTAGTAAAGGGAAAGAGTCCATCTACAATTTTACAATTTCAAATCTCATGGAAACTGAGAATATCAGTCTTTCTCAGTTTAGAGGTAAAGTGGCGCTTATCGTGAATGTAGCGACATACTGAAGTTTCACATGGCACTACCGTCAACTGAATGCACTACAATCTTCTCATGGCGACTTAAAAATACTCGCTTTTCCCTGCAACCAGTTCAAACAGGTAAGTTACACAGGTAGACTCAAACGATTTGTTTGTTTTAAATTTCGCGCAAAGCTACTCGAGGACTATCTGCCTTAGCCATCTCTAATTTTAAGGTGATAGACTAGAGGGGAGGCAGAAAGTCAATACACACCCCCTCGCCAATTCTTGGACTACTCTTTACCAACGAATAGTGGGATATACTGTCACATTTCTCTGAAGGTCAGCATGTTTAGGAACGGGATTCGAACCCGCTACCCTCAGATCGCGAATCTAGTGCCCTAACCACTAGGCCAGACTCAAACAGAACATAACAGTAGATGACAAAAGAAAGAGTGATAATATGTTTGTTGTGATGAATATTACTGTGTAGTATTGCTGTGATAATTACTTTACAGACATTTCCACTCTGGTGTACATTCATTTATTCGTGGTTTATTTTAGTTTCTACATTTCGTGTAAATCTCCACAACGACTACTTCGACACAGTCGCCCTACTTTTGATCCGATAGACTATAAGAAAAGCAGTCAATCAACAACATGCATCACCAAGTCTTGGGCTGTTCTCGTCTATTTGAATAGTGGGATTCGACCATTACTCTGTTAACACATCCACGATCTTAAAGTGAGAAGTCCATTTATGATGCAAGGGGATGTAAATCATGAATACACGAATTCACAGTATCAGCATATTAAACACTAGGCGATGCTCGTTAATTAATTTTAATACAATTCAGTTGAAATTATAAATTGTTTGTTAGCAGAAGTAATAAGGTTAATGTGGATAATGAGGTTGACATGCAAACGTTGCAGCTAACTACTTCAACTTGTACAAAAGGTAAAAGTGGTCGAGTTTATTCTTTTTGTCTTAAGTAAGTTGCCAAGTACCAAGACGATCACAAAAATTTACTGATATTACGCTGGTTCATATTTCAAGTACAATATTTAATCGGCACACATGCTAACAGCAAAACTTGTCCTATGTATGCTAGCCACGTTATGCTTGTGTATCGAGCCAAATAACATCTATAACTTTGTTGTTGTTGTTGCTTCAATGAGGATGTATTTACAGGACCTTTACGTTTCCGCTTCCTTTCGGTAAACAGACTTCCTGTATAAACGATTATTTGTAACTTTGAACTGTACAATATCCTGCCTTTAAAGTTAAAATAAATTTCTTGCTCAGTTTAGCAAAAACAAAACAAAAGTATATAATCATATCTCTTTATTCAAAATTTGGTGATAGAATACCATGTTTATTAGTACCAGTTACAGAATTATACAGTACTAGTGCTATAGGACAATATGGAGTTAACGTCTGCAATCCATGATCACCTGTGTTTCACAGACAGTGGCCCACAGCCTTTACCGGATCAGTGTATTTTGGACATTACTGACGTATTTAAAAGCCCCCCAGTGGTACAGCGGTATGTCTGCAGACTTACAACGCTATAAACCGGGTTTCGATACCCGTGGTGGGCAGAGCACAGATAGCCCATCATGTAGCTTTGTGCATAAATTCAAACAAACAAACGTATTTAAAGGCATTATTTATGTCAATGGAACATTACTGTATTCATGTAAACGGGACAGTACTGACGTATTTAAAGGCAGTATTCATGTAAACGGGAGATTACCCGGGATATTTAAAGGCAGTATTCATGTAAACGAGACATTACTGGCATATTTAAAGGTTTCATGCAAACGGCCTACCTTATTCTTGCTTTCGATGATTAGAACAAGTTAAAGCTCTGAACACCAGCAAAAACAAGAACTCAAAAACAGAATTGTGTCAGTGTTTCAACTTGTCTGGTTCAATTGATTTTTTTGTTGTAATTACTTATTGTGGAGATACATAAGATGTTAATTATTTGATACAGTATTTATGTGAAGTCTGAACTTCATAAGTATTTTTCTCCCTTTATTTGAATAGCAAGAACCAGGTGGAAATGGAACAGAAATCATCAATGGGGTGAAATACGTTCGTCCAGGGAATGGTTTTCAACCGAACTTCGTCATGTTTCAGAAGATAGAAGTTAACGGAGCCAACGAACACCCTCTATACACCTATCTCAAAGTAGGTGTTTTCTAATCATAAAACACACAAACCGAACGCTTTCTATTCTGTTATTTAATGGTGTATTCTGACAGGTATACAAACAAAGAAACCTCTTCACACTAACTGCTCAAGCAATTTTGTGTAGATCTAAAAGTTCAATGTATAGTTGGAAATTGAGTTTTGTGTAGTTTCACTTTTACATGTAAATACTGGAGAGCCACAAACTTTTCTCTCAAAAATGTACGTCACATTTTACACATAATAATGGACACTACAATATGATATAGATTTTAGCAACATTTAAGTTTTAATAAACGTTTCATGAACATCTAATATAACAGAATTTATTATCTTACTAACATTTGAATTATGCGCAAAACTCGACTTTTGCTTTTGCATTCCTAAAAGCTAATCAACACAAAAGAAAAATAAATACGTAAGATAATGCTCAGCGCCATCCGGGGGGGGGGGGGGGCTTACAATTAGGTACACATTTTAACCTATTATTTATGTAGGACTGAATATTCCTTAAAATAGCCCCTGATATGCTCACTCGTAAAGTACACCAAGAAATCAGTGTATGAAGGTGTTTATATATTGAATGGTAAAATATATACATACCAAGAAACATTTATACAGTTGTTACGTACTTTCACGGATTTACAGTATGGGGTTCGCTAACTGGAGGTTCGATGGATATTAAGTAACAAAGCATGTACCCACTGCTCTGTGAATTATGTCTGAGGTCGTCTTAGATAAAGGGTCAAAACAGGTAAAAAGTAAAACTACAACCTTGAATACCAAAACAGACAAACACGATACTCCTAAACTGGTGAGAGAACGAGAGAGATGAAGAGAAACCATGGTTACAAATAAAAATCTAAAATTAAACTGAAAAAAGAGACAAAGATACAAAGTTGCAAAAGGTTAAACAAAAGCTCAGTAAAACATAATTCTTAACAAAAGAAGTTGAATGAAGCGAAATATCAATCTTAGAAAAATTATCTTAGTCTGCCAAAGCAAATCTTAAGAAAATCAACCTAACAACTGAGAACCTGGCGTTTAATACTAAAAATACAATAACATAACATAAATCCAAATTGCACACGTCACTTTTCAACTATGTAACCGTTGTCCACTACTACTTAAGTGCAAAAGTCTGGGAACCCAGGACATTACTGGATTTGCTGATAGAAAAGACAGCATTCTGTTGTGAGACATCACAAGCTATATTTTCTGTAAAAAATGCGGTTACTTACTACTTAGTGAACTAAGTCTCGATCAGAGCTAGAATCAGGAAAAGATGGATGTGTTTACTTAAGTAACTTCTTATATTCATACTGAAGTGAAATAAAAACAAAAATTTCGAAAAATATATCCACTATCTGTAGTAGTAGAAACATATGGTATGAACTTGTACCAACCACACAGTTATCTAAAGGTGTGCATGTACTGACTGGTAAAATACACATCCTAAGAGACCTCTATACTGTAATCTAAAAGAGAATGTGTTCTAAATGTTATAATACCACATCAGTACAGTTACCAAAATAAAATTTATTGTTTAGATTTCTGCAGCTGTTTATGGTTATCTAAAATTAACATTTTCTTTCTAAGAGCTCTAGTTTTTTCTACTTTATCTAAATGTGGGTATATTCTAAAAATACAAAGTGAAAGAAAATTTTTTATAACTATGTAAATGTCTTTCGTCAGTGAATTGAAATGTATTATTTGAGAAGCAAAACCAAGGTATATTTCGCTTTGACTTTGGAAAATATGTTATGATCTGGTTTAATGAAAATAAATTTGTTTTAAATTTGTAAACATGGTTTAATATGGAAGTCTTAACACGCTTTTAAACCAATATATTATCCCTTTACCAAGCGACAGTTTGAACAAGCATACTCATTGTGCAATGCCTGTGACTTCCAAGGCTAGAAAGAAACCTTGACAAAAGATCACGACAAATAATCTTAATAGCTGTTACTATGTTTACTTATGGAAACTGAAGTTGACTTGTACTTTCTCAGTTAGCTGCGTCCTTGAAACTATGCTTTGGCAAACACTTAAGTTACAGAAATTGATTGGACTGATGAAAACTAATCATCGAAACTCAAGAAGTAATGTGAAGGTCACTTAGCTCCCCTGGTCAAGGGTCAAGAGTTTTATTTGTGATACTTCCTATTAACAAAATTTCCGAAAGAAAACTTGTCTTCAATGCCTGACGAGTATTTGCCAAAATTTATTAGACAAATACTAGTTTCACTACAAAATGTTTTTCGTGTTATTTTATTTAAGTCGAAAGCCATCGAATGAAGTATTTATATGATTTATATGCAAAAACATTAATTTAAAATCATGTTTTCCTTCCACTTGTTTTGAATTTCGCGCAAAGCTACGCGAGGGCTATCTGCGCGAGCCGTCCCTAATTTAGCTAGCAGTGTAAGACTAGAGCGAAGGCAGCTAGTCATCACCACCCACCGCCAACTCTTGGGCTACTCTTTTACCAACGAATAGTGGGATTTACCGTCACATTATAACGCCCCCACGGCTGAAAGAGCGAGCATGTTTGAGTGGGACGGTGATTCGATCCTGCGACCCTCAGATTGTGAGTCGAGCGTCCTAACCACTTGGCCATGCCGGGCCGTTTTTCCTTCGATTAAGAACATTTATTTTTACATTGGAGTTACTTACCGTTCAGTGTCGGAAGGACAGCAGTCATTAACAGGGTTTGATGCAACAAGAGATAAAGAATAGTGTGTGCATTATCAAACTTGTTTAGTGGTTTGGAATAATCTCGCAGTTAAATTCTTAAAATAAAATTTTACTGTTTAAATTATCTTATGCCCCCAAGTGCCACAGCAGTGTGTCTGCGGACTTACAACGCTAAAAACCGATTTTCGATATCCGTTGTGGGCAGAGTACAGATAACTCATTATGCAGCTTTTTGCTTAACTTCAAACGAAAAACTCTCTTATATTTTTGATACTTCGCTAGATTTTTAAAATATTTCACACAATTATCAGTTTCACAGAGTTGAGACAAATTTGCATATTTACACAAGAACAACACCGATCTTTACTTTTTATCTCAGGAATATTCAACACCACATTACGAACATGTTTTCCCTCAGGCAATAAATAAAGTTTATTATGATTTGTCCATAATTCGGATTCATAATATGGCATAACCTGTATATCGTTACAGAAGCTTTATCTGAAGATATTGAAATATCAATGATCCCAGAAACGCACTACATAAAAACAGTATACTTTAGTATGGGAAATCAGATTCTAACAATAATAACCATATTTAGACTAGGATGCTTTGAACTAGTTGTTGTAGCTACAGTCATCAAATATTTCCGACAAACAATACAATATGTGTGTTTTATATTCCTCGGTGTCTAACTTGAATAATCAATAGTCTAGGTCGTATAGTGAATAATGACTGATCCTTTCCTTTTTATTATTCTTGGTAATTATCCCTCTAGTCATGTATAGGCTAACACGATTGTTTGAGTGTTTAACAAGTTCCTTTTTAGAACATATCACAACTTCTATCATTACCATATCTGATTATTTTCATTTCAATTCAACTAACCTCATCATCTTTAAAAGAAACTTTCATTAAAACCCAACATTTTCCAACACCAAGCCAGTCATAAAACTATCCCAATAAAAAATAATCAACTGAAAAAGAGTGATATATGGCTGTAAACTAAACACTGATTACTTGTCATCTTAGTGTGAGTCCCAGTAGTGGTTTATTTCACCTTGTGAACACAGTCGCTTATAAAATCCATGTAGCTGTAGATACAGACTGGATTTTCATCAAAAGGTGTTTTTGAATAAACTTTTTCTATCATGGGTGACTAATCAGGAGGACAGAAAAAGGAATATGCCACCCCACTTTGAATATTACTTTAGTAAAGAATTTTCTCGCCTCCTTCGAACGCCAGTTCCTCCTTACACTTACACTTTGAATGAAGTCAGGCGCACGTGCCTGCTATATTAGATCTTTAACCCTTTCAACAGTGTTGGGTTATATAGTTCTCAGCTTATGTTTGTGAAGGACTAGTAGGATCCATATATCCTATAGAAATATTATGAACATGTCATACCAGAGGGTATGATTTTGACATACAGCATGTGACTAAAGCTTCTTCAAAAAATGTTTTGTATGATTCACTTATATCTTGAAAGAGTAATTAATTCCTTTTTTTCAAAATTGAACAAATAAAACTTTGATTATAAAATGTTCTTGCGTTGCTTTCACTTCAGAATGTGTGCAAATGTTTCCATAAATAGCTGCTTGAACACATATAACACAATAATAATGCCGTAAGTCTACGGGCTTACAACACTAAAATCCGGGTTTCGATTCCCCGCGGAGGACACAGCAGATAGCCAAAGCGTCTTTGCCCTAAAGCAAATAAATATTAATGCTTGTTTGATATATAGTTATTTACTCGCCACTAATAAACTAAAATACTTTAGACATTTGGATAGCATGTGATATACCGTTACAGTTGTTTAACCATCATTATTCAGCGAACTAACTCGTTATTTGTAAATTTGTTAATTTCTTTTCTCCCCAATAACTGAAGAAAATGTGCTGAAAAAATAAATTAAGAAATAAATAAACAGTACCTGTTGGGGCACAAATATCTCGTATGCAGGTTTCAGAAATCGTAAGTAGAAAATAATTTCCACAAATTCAGAAAGAATTCTTTATGTATCCTAGGTGGCTTACATGTAATTATATTGTTTCCACTTTTAAAATACAAAAGTCGTACTGAAATAGTTAAGATTCTAGAGATAGTTGTATCTCAAGACAACGCTTCCCTCGTTTTTGCCCATTTTTAATCTTACGCCCCTGTAAACACACCGTCAATAAACTGGCATACAGCTGAGAAGGAATGCTCAAATCAACTAACAGTTTTTATCTTCTTTTCGTCATCCTGAGCAGGAGGGTACCGACTAAGAGAAAAAGGATGTATCATTGCAAAAACTTGTGTTTGCAACTGCGTCACTAAAGCAACAATTTTAATCGTTTCGTATAAACCTATTATTTTGTAATTTTTACCTAACATATTGTTAAAGTCTGTTCTTTCATAATTATTCGCTTTTAACAAAAAATTCATTGTCATCACTCATTATATTGTTTGATTTTTGAATCTCGCGCAAAGCTACACGAGGGCTAACTGCGCTAGCCGTCCCTAATTTAGCAGTGAAATGAAAGTCGACATCACCCACCGCTAGCTCTTGGGCTATTCTTTTACCATGGCTGAAAGGGGCAAGCATGCTTGGTGGGATGGGGGATTTGAACCCACAACCCTCACATCGCCAGTCAAGCGCCATAACCACCTGGTCACGCTGGACCATTCAATATAAATATTAGAATTAGTACTTAGTATATCATCTACACATCGCTTGTGTTGCTCAAACTGTAGATAAATGTTATTGAATTGTATTTGTCTTATTTATGAAGTTCAGTTCTGTGGGTCTCCCTATAAAATTTACCCCGTCCAATCAACTCCTAAATTAAGCCCTATTTCCTGGGGCTATTTTTTCATTTTTCTCGAAACCACTGTTGTTGATTTCTACACTGAGTCATCATTCTGCTACCGGTGTATTAATTACTTGCTATTTCTAATGCACATACATCATTGTTATTGCGCATCCCAGATCGAAACCTCAACAATTCAACCGAAAATATTGTAATTTGTGCATATTACGTAGCAGAGTCAAGCCAACACACTAAATAAACAAAAGTCTTCACAGGTTCTAATTCTACACTGACTTTCCCTTCACAGACTGATCTGGCAGGCTGATTTTCCTGCAACTCAAATACAGAAAACACCACCATCAATGAACCCAAGATGGTGATTTTACAGTTTCACTTCAGCATTTTGAACTTCGCCTTTTCCTCCTTGATTGCTATAATAAACATTTCCACACATCAAATGAGTTTCACAGTATATGTTTTAGTACTTGAAAATGTAGACTTACTGATAGGATTTTTAAATTTTAATCTCAAGTTTCATCTATATTTAATCATACTTGAACGTCGTACACATGTTTGAAAGTTAAAAATAATAGAATTGGAATGCATTACTGAATAAGTTATGTAAACCATAAGCATACAAAGTTGTAGCCTACTGTTTTTTTGAAAGTATATTAGAAGAATTTTCTTAACACTTATTACTCAAGATCTATATGGGTATTTAAATTTTAAGTGTGTGGGGAGGGGGTCCAACATTTTAAAGGGTCTATATTTAAAACAAACAACATACTCAGTTTCATAGTTTCTATTTCAAAGGGTTCGTATTCTAAACAGTCAGTAATTATTTGATTTGGTGTTTTCAAAATGAACGACACCTTATACGATGAATGGACTAAATGGCTAGATTAGAGGCTCCAAGGAGGCACAGACCATCCCTAATTTAGAACCACAAACCAGAAAGAGGGGAGGGGCACCACTTCAGCAGTACCCGCTGCCCACATTGCTACTCTTAAATAAATAGGGAATAAATATTGTGATTATAATGCCCCTCAGCTGAAAGTAAAGTTCTTCTTTCAAAAGAATATCGCTGATCAAGCCTTGGACCCTTTGCTCCACACTATCGAATTTTAACCACTAGCCCATGCCCGGTCTCAAAATTATTTGATATTCCACATTCCGAACAATTAATAATTATAATATAAGCTTAACTTTGATATTTCTGTATTCTAAAGGATCATATCCTCAACTGTAAACAATTTACCCAACTTCGAACGATCTATCTCCTTTTTCAAAAAGTTTTACATTTAGAACGTCTAAAATTACTCCACATACTCATATCTAAACCTTTTCATTAAATTGAATTGCTTCAAATATGATTAGTCTTGAATAATTTTAGTTAAGACCAAGATACTCTCTTATTTGTACTAATTTTGAAATTGTATTCAGAATTACTGTAGTTATTATTAATATAATGTTTGTTTTTTTCTGCCATTTAGAAAAACTGTCCTCCTACAAAAGAACATTTTGCTCCTTCAGATTGGCTCTTCTATGATCCCAAACACAGTCGTGATATCCGTTGGAACTGGGAAAAATTCCTTATAGATAAGAACGGAAAACCAGTAACTCGTTATGGGTCTTCGGTTCAACCTAAGGATATAGCTACGGATATTGAATATTTGTTAATGCAAAACTAAGACACCTTAAAAACTGTACACGTTAAGTGAAAATAACTGTTTTGGATAATTCAATACTAGTTCGTTAATCCCTCTGTTTAAAAATATGTGTCTAAAATTGATTAATACCTAAAAAAAGTTTTAAACTTCAGAAATTAATTTATTCTCCAGAGTTTTGTTCACATTTTTATTTAAAAGAAAGTTTTAGGCAGTAGACATGTTGAAGAGTTTCCTACGAACTACTCCAGCCTTCTGTCTGATTTTGGATACGTCTTTTCGGACTGTGTTCTGAGTTCTGTGTCGTCTCCAAAACCACACAAAAAGTTTGAGTAGTCCATAGAAAGCCATTCGACACATTCTGTTTATATTTTGTTATGTAAGAAAACATTCTAAGAAGGATTGAGGATGAATGTAAAGTTAACTTCCAAACATTAAACTTTTTCTGAGATTATTTACTAATTCTCGACACTTCATTTTAATCTTTTGTATTTCTCTTTAAAATATTTCAAACTATAGTTTCAAAAAAAAGTTAATATAACATTTCTTTTTGTTTCTGATCAAATTATAGTTCATATGGTCTTCTTGTTTCTTAAAGAAATCATCTAATATTACATATTCTTATCTGATGGAAATACAAGCAATAGATCAACAAACTAGTTTCTAGACTTATTTTGTTTTCTATCACATCTGTTTTTGGTTTCATTTTTGGTGTTTAATATCTTACTTCATCTTACCTGTCATGACAAACTAATCAGAAACTGCATCATTGCAGGTGATCAGTTTAGAGGAGTCACCGGTCAAGCAACCTGGTACTTCAGTGCATTCAGCTAGGTGCTCTACCGGTAACAATAATGTAAGATGTAGGAAAGAAAATTACGCCATGATATGATTAGATTATGCGTTTCTTCAATACGTTTTTCATCAAAATTCTTTGTAAATGTGTCTTAATTGTGCTTATTCATTTTGAGTAATTTTTTCTCTTCGATTTGTCTCAAAAATAAAGTAGTTTATAACATTATAAATGACATATATATTTTGTTGGAAATATTATTTAACATGTTGCATTTTGCTGAAAAACATAAATGTTCCACAGTAACGTTTCGAAAGGAAAATGACATTCAACACAAGCTTAATTTCAGATCACGATGTCTAAGATAATCGAGATTAATTGTAAATATGATAGGTTTCTTGAAAAATAGTTTTACAATATTTTTAAGTAAAGTGCAAAGCCAACATTAATAAACGCAAATAAAAATCACTAAATAAATTTTAGATTGTGGTATCCCAAGTATCTCGAAAGTGAATGGATTACAACACACCCTTCTGTACATTTTGAAAATCGCACTATCGAGGTGAATCGTTTGCTCCAATTGAAACCGCTGTTACCGAAATATTAATTTTATATTGCATATAGCAGGATATCATGAAAGGAAAATATGTACGTGAGGACATATTCAGTGAATAATGCATCTGTGCTCTAACTATACAGTGCGGTGATATTAGAACAAAAATATTTGAAATAATTATTAAATGACCATTTTAGTTACTTGTCACGTGTTTTACAAGAACCTCGCTAAGTTAAATAATACCTGATTCTGTTAGGTTAGAGAGAACGCTGCAAAACAATTACACTGATATGTTAAGAGAAAAAGTAAATTAAGTTAATATAAGACGTGACAGAAAGTTTTCAATAACATATTATCAATTACTTTTAGTATTAAACTTCTAAACATATTTTGTATATGGCGCTGATTAGGCATTCTACGAAACAAAAACAAATAGTTTATTTCTTTGTTTACGTATATTCGCGCAAAACTACACAATACTTGTTTAGTTTTTTAAACTAATAGGCTAGAAAGAAGACAGTTAGACGACAGCACTCACCATCAACTCTTGGAATATTCAAATAGAATAGTGAGATTTGACCGCTTCTCTTATAACGGAACGAATTTTTTTCGGCAACGGAAAGCGAACGTATGACTCTCAGGTTAATTGTCCAACATAATAACCACTAAGCCACGCCAGGTTAAAAAAAAAAGGCAAAAGGAACGATACTCATAAAATATTTGTTTACCTGTGTTAAGCTTTTTTATTGTTAAACTTTTCAATCCATAAGTTAGTATTTTATATACAATGGATAACAATTCACATAAAACAGAAAATGATTACTAATAGTAATCTTAATTTATAGAAATACATTATCTCGTTAAAGATTAACATTATTAATTTCTTATCACTGTAATTTTCAGCAGTCTTTGACATACAGTTCAAAACGACAATTAATTATTAGGTTTTGAATTCTTTTAATTTTCAAGACATACCTACTCAGTACTTTCACATCAAAAGCACTTACAAATATTATTGGTCTCAAACATTTTATAATTATCCACTCTTTTACTTATAAGTTTATTTAGTATCGTAAAATAAATCACTTTCTATTGACCTCACAACATTTTGATAATTTATATATTCATTTGACCCTATTTATCGTTTCGGTAAAAGAAAGTTTATTCGGATAAAAGAAACAACAAAAATGTAAGACATAATGTAGTGCTTGCTGTTATAAACACATGGTAGTAACGAGCCCGTGTATTAGGCAGTTGTAATTGGCTGAGATTAAAACCAAATTGTATTGTTATATCGTTGTTCTTTCGTTGGTGGGATTTTTTAAGTTATCTGAATAACATAATTCAAAGTTCAGTCCACTTAAAAAATAACAAGTTGGTTTATTTTCTCCTTTAATGTTTCTAGAAATCTCGAGCACTTGTACAAATGACTTTCAAACCTTTCTAACAATCTAAGACTAACATAAAATCAAATCAACTTTCTTCCACAAAATAACCACAATAGCTAAAATGCTGACTGATTCACTCTACTATTTTCTAACAACTGCACACAACCTCCTTGACTATCTTTCAACTCACACTTACTATCTCATATTTACAACATAGCAGGGATGGGGTGAATACTGGATATCAGTAATCGAATACAAATACGAATACTTCATATTTTTATGAATACGAAAACGAGTACAGGAAAAATGTTAAGTATTCGAATACGAATAAATGGGAATGTATTCATGAATACATTAACGTATACTTTGTCAGGTAATATGCAATAATGATAAAACAGCAGACGATAATATTTCAATACTTTTATTTTATGAAATAAACATTTTAGAAACTAAAACAAACAAAATTTGAACAAATAATAACATTTAAGTACTTTTATTTTTCAAAATGCAATAACAAAGACTTAGAACAAAAATATAATTTTAAAGGAGACTTGTACATATTATAAATATTCATTGTTCTTTATGAACACCAGTGGGGCAGCAGTGATCAGGTTTGAGGTTTTTGCCTCCGATGTTAAACAAATGCTCAACGGGGGTAGAGGATACTGGAACACTCAGGTAGCGTTTGGCTGGTAGACATAGGGTAGAATTTTTTTTATATTTCTTCCAATAATCTAGAGGGTTGCTTTCTTCAAGAATCCAAGGACTATCGAGGAAGGTGTTGATCTCTGCATCCTTTGGAGATTAGGTGGCTGGTTTCTTGGAGGCAGCAAATAAACTAAAGAGCTTAATTCTTTTGCGAGGAGGGGATTTACAATCCTCTCTTGGTTCCAGGGTTGTAGGATTGTTTGTTGAGGAAACTTTCTTGACTTATTGCTTCAGAAGCATTCGATTGGATTCATAGACCATAGGTCTAGTGAAACACCAGTCAGTTTTAATCTTGGATCCAATGCCGTAGCCAAGCAGAAAACACTTCGTTGCTCTTACTGAGTCAGCTAGGCGTGAACAGATATCTGGACTGCACGCTATCAGTGGAAAGTTAATATATTCACAAGGAAGGTTGTAACGACACAAAGACGAATGGAAAATAAACTGATTTATATAAGCAACAGTTCATCATCAAGAGTAACAAGTTCTACCAATAAACTTGATAAAACCCGTTAAGCCGGAGAAGAGCAGTTATTCGAAAATTCACTTAAATAAATATGTTTTAAATTTCCAATTTTCTTTGTCTGGGACAAAATAATTCCATTGGCTATCATCCTAACTTATAGATAACTTTGGAATTTTATGACAAAAATCGTAGCTACTTCTGACCTGTAGTTTGACATATGCTAAAATGTTCGAACGTCAGGAGGCATTAATTAGCACTTTTAAATTTGTACGTTTCTATAAACTATGAATAATCTGTGTGTGAAATTGCTGACAATTGTTAGACACGTATCCCTCTTGATTTGTATGTGTTAGCTGGAAATGAATTAATTGTATGAATTGTTATTTTAAACTGAATGTAAGTTAATTAACGAACAATCAACATTTAAACGTGGTAGTAACAAATGTAAAGTATAGCGTTTCTCCTGGAGTTCTTAGGTCTTTAGCAGAACATATAACCCGGAAATAATTGACACTTGGCATACGTCACAATCTCTGATAGCAGGGACCCCAACTGTGGGGTCAAACCTCGGGTATCTATTGACCCTACCAAGACTAGGATTTTACGCAGAGGTGGATTATTCATTCAACCTTTAACTAACACTGACCTTACCTACCTCTGTGATCCATGGAACTCCTCATGTTACTTGCATAAATCCTAGATCAAACTCTAATCTCTTTTCTATTTTGCTTAGAGGCATCGACCTGTCAATCACACCAAAGGAAATTCAGCATTCCTTGGAAGAAACCGCCAACACCAAACTTCACGCAGTTCACCGGATCCGCTCCAGGACAAGCGGATAGCCGACCAAGTTCATGAAAATAGTCACCACGTCCAAACTAACCGCCAAATACATTCTCACTAATGAATGTTGCTTCAACTTTTTTCATTCTAAAGTCGAATGACCACATAGAAGAAACATCTGTCGACAAGTCTCTCCACATCAAGCACCTCTTACCAAACACCAGCACCAAAAACCGACCACTCAGGTTATCAACCACTAACAAGTCCATCCAAACTGAGAAAATCAGGAAAATTTCAACCAAGGATCAAGCTATCCAAACAGTAACCCAAGAAACACGTGACTCAATCACCTCGACGGACATCGCTGTATCAACCAACCAGTCAAAACAGGTCAATCCTCAAGCAAAGAAGAAAGCCACCCAAACTGAGCCGCCACCAGAGCCTACCACTGACATCCAAGAAGAAGAATATTCGACGCCTAAAACCTTCCTGTTTTGAGAATTCCATCTGCCTTCATCCTCCAGACACATAGCAGCTGATGACCTACGCACTTCGCTCAACTCCAAATTATTTGTGTAACCTCCCAAAGACGATACCGCCAACTACTACGACCGAACCTTCTCAAGCCATAATCACACCTTTAGGGACAAGCTTAAAATATGAGATTTTTAGCAGCGAGACGAACTGCAAATATTATTGTAATTTGTAATGTACAGTATCTTGTCAAAACCCATTTGGTATTGACAACTATGTTAAAATAATTTCATTTTCCCCAAAAAAATGTTTTGTTAAAAACAATTGCGCTGCAAATAATCTCTTAAATATGCACATTAGAAGCCAGAGTTGCTACAGAAGTAGCAGGACAAACTGAGATCACTAGTGGGACAGTCAGTTGTCTTACCTATATATATACATTCTGAATAACATTTCCATAATGCACATTCCATCTCTGTGTCGAGTCTATTCAAACTTTTCCTCGATAAAAAGAAGGCCCCCCAGTGGCACAGCGGTATGTCTGCGGACTTACAACTCTAAAATCCGGGTTTCGATACCCGTGGTGGGCAGAGCACAGATAGCCCATTGTGTAACTTTGTGCTTAATTACAAAGAATGATAAAAGAAGACATCTACATTCCCCCATTGGCATTATGGTATATGATTATATCATGCATTTCTACCCTTTTGTAATATTATTGTATTTATTCTGAATTCATCATTTATTCTGCATATAAGAATGTTTCAAATAAACATGTGGTTAAGAAAGTTATTAAGATCACCTCATTCTAGCTGTCTTTATTATTCTCTTGGAGATAATACTAATCTGCCGG